TGCATCTGTACGAAGCACTATGAGTCATTCTTGATGCAGCTGATTCCAGTACCATCCATTAAGAAACATCATTTCAAGGGCTCTTTATTTTCTACAGTTTGAAACTTCATCCTCCTTAGCATGGCATAAGGCCTTTTGGGTGACCCTTCTCAATGCTGAGTCTTTCCTGCATGCCACTCCACTCCCGTGACACTGTCACCATCATTTCTTGCCTGAATTGCTACAACGGTGTCCTGACTCCCAGATCCTACCTGTTTTCATTGCCCTCTGCTTCAATCTTTTCCCCACATTGGAGCCAGAAAGACCTTTTGAAATTGCAAATATGTTCATGTCACTCCCTTGCTCAAAATCCCTCAATGGTGTCATGCCATCTAAGGGACAGTTTCTGCAACTTGTTCAGGTACAATAACACCTGGATGTCATGGTGTTCTCAGAATGCCATGAATTAATTGATATATTAAATGTCACTATATGAAATAAAACACTTTTGAAAAGAACACTTCTGCTGGCAGAAAACATGTCTACATTATGTGTGTGCAATGTGAAATTATAGCCACGAGCATAGATGTCCATGCAAAAGTAAACAGTTGAATGAAGCATGATCAGTATTGGGATTCACTGTTTAATATTCACTTGCTACTTGTTTATTCATTTTGTTGCTTTCTAGCAGATAAGCAGGAGCATCTGTTAAAGATTTAGAGAAATTTATGGTTAAGAAAGTTAAAATAGAGGAATTTCTACCCATTAACTGATTTTTTGTTTTTCACTGCAAGCCTCCATCCCATTTACATGGGGCATGGTTCCAGATCGAACAGGCATTGTCCCTGGAGAGCACAGCTTGAGAAACCCTACTCTGGAGCATATAATTGAAGTTCTTTGGCAAGACCCACACAACCCTTCCAGATATGACCCCCTCTTATCTTCCAACCTTGTTCCTCTACCTCTACCACTCCTTCTGGCCAAGGCCTGGGAATTCCCTAAGCATTCTCTGATCTTTTTTTTTTTTTTTCTGTGATTTTACACATGCTATTTGCTCCACTGTCCCCGCACTCCCACCACGGCCCAAAAAATTACAGTAAGTCCTCACTTTATGTTGTTGACAGGGTCTTGGAAACTATGACTTTAAAACAAAATGACGCATCACGAAACCAGGTCCTCGAATAAGAGCGATTCATTCAACATTGCCTATGGGATTTAGAAGTTGTACCAAAATGACGCCGAACAAAATAACTTTATTTGAGGAGCTGCTAGACTGTTCAGTCAAGACTCAGTTCATATGATGCTTCTTTCACTCCCAGAGTTTCTTCTTCCCCAGGGTCTTGCTCCCAGTTGATTATATCGATGATCACGTTCCAGGTTGTGGAGCTCTCTGGCCACTGGCCTGGGAGCTCCCTCAGGTTATGGTAGGGGTTCTTGTCTCCCAATCTTGCTGGATTCCTCTGGCACTTAGCACCTTTTTTGGTGCCCCTTCTCTAACTCCAGGCTATTGGTATGCGCATGCTGCTCACTGTTGAAATCCAGCCGGACAGCCCAGACTGCAAACCTTCCCCTGGCCCATTTCTCTGGGACTAGATTTTCAGATAAAACAGTGGTTCTCAAGCTTTAGCATACAGTCAAATTCCCTGGAGCACTGTTGAAACAAAGACTGCTGGTTCCAGTCCCTGAGGTAGTGATTCAGGAGGTGGGGGGGGAGGGGGCAAAAATTTGCATTCCCATACAAGGGTGATGCTGCTAGACAGAGGCTGCATTTTGAAAACCACTGGAATAAACTAAAGTAAAAGCAGGGAGCAGTGGGTAATGAGTTTCTGATTCTATCAGCACTGCCTGGATTTGGTTAATCCCAGAGCATTTTCTCTCTGCTTCACCTCAGCCTCCTCCAACTTTCTGATCTTACTTTTCAAATTGTTCTTGGAGCTTCTCCACTTTAGACCAACTCTATTATCCTTCTCTTTCTCCTTTTATAAAGCCATGGTTTCAAAACAAAACCCTGCCCTGAGCTCTTAGCTCCATTTCACTACCCTTTTCCTCTTCTCTGCCTCCTTCCACGCTGCCCATCCAGTCTTAGCACCCCCTATCCCAGTATGCAGAGTGACTTTCTAAAGCTTGGCTCCAATTAGGGGCCACTCTTATCTATCAGGGTAGCTATTTCCCCTCCTTGGGGAGTCTAGTTCCACAAACAACATTAGCATGCTGATGACAGTCACCTGCTGGCTCTGGGAAGTCACTGCTTGATCCAGCTTCCTTAAGGACAGTGGAAACACTGACAGCACCACATTACATGCTTCCGTTCATTCAGTCAACAGACTGATTGAGTACTGGCCAGGCACTGTGCTGGGCCCAAGGGACGCCATCAGGACACATTGAACATAAATGCATGTTTATGGTCATCCCCCTGGAGAGCCCGCAATGTCACTTTACAAAGGGGATCTTTTGTCTCCCCACCCCCCCATCAACAGGGGCAGACACTCAGTGAAGAAACTGACCACTTTCACCAGTCCTCCGCTCTCCCTTGTGCCTGGGCAGGTGACCCATGACCAAGGACTGGGAGACACAGACCCAGCAAATTTCCAATCCCGTTAGTTGCAATGAGCCTGATTATCCATACCTCTCAGTTACTGACCTGCTGTATGGAGGAACAGTACCTAAAACCCAAAGCACAGCGAACTAAAACCCCTCTGCATATCCACACACACTGACATACACAAGCTGATGCACACACAAGGACACCTATACCACCACACGTATTACATCACATATGGACACACAGAGACCAACACACAACACAGACATACCAACGCACACTGAAAATACACACTGACACACACATCCACACCGAAGCACTGAAACTCACATACCCAGGCAGATACACACTAAAATACAACCAGAGGAGTAAACATATGCCAACATACACATACACACTTTGACACACAGCTGACACACACACACTGACACATACGAATGCACACCTACTCACACATCAACACCAACCCACACCACTCAGAATCCGGAGACCCAGCCCCTAGGACCGGCTCGCAGCCTCAGGCCACAGGTCTTGAAGGGACTGAAGGGCTGCAGGAGACTTGAATTACACACTCAGCCCCAATCTGCCAGGTCCAGCATTTTTGCGAAAGAGGCCTCTGGAGGTCCTGAGAGTCCCCACAGATAAGAGGTTGGAGCAGGGCACATGGGCGCCCCTACCCACAGTACCCCCAGCGTGGGGCGGGAATGTGCAGAGAGCTTCATTCAGAGCGCAGCGCCTCCCGATGCGCTGGCGGCAGGCATTTTCCCTGGGAGCCCAGGCAGTCGGCCAGTCAGTCTCTGCCTGGCTCTTCCCTGGTCTTGCCGCTCCAGGTAGCTGCACTCAGCTCAGGCTTTCAAATGTGCGCCTCCGGTCCTGCCACCATGCATGCCCCAGGTCCAGATCAGAGCTAGTGGCCTCAGCCCTTCCTGTCTACCACACTCCAGCCTTTGCCAGGGAAGACCTGTCTCCCTCCCAGATGCCCAGCCCGGAAGCGGGCAGTCACCTTTCACTCCCTGCCCCATCCGGTCTCGGCCCCGTCTTACAGCGGTTCTTCAGATACATCCCTGGGCCCCCGTGTCACTGCCACTCCAATACCGGGCCTGGCGCCTCTCCCAGCTCCCTGCCGGCCTCCGAGACTTTACTCTCCCCCCTTTCCCTGCCACCACCATCTGCCCGGCCGGCCAGAGCTGTGTCTCACAACTCCCCTGCACTGGCCCTTAATAGTTCCAGACTCTTCTTTTTAGCCCCCACCTGCGTCTCCAGCGCAATGATAGGTGCACAGCGGGAACTCCCAATACTCGGCTTTTGATTGACTGTCCCTACAGCTACCCCCTCATTGAATCTTTTCTTTCGAGGGTCTGGGTCTGTCTCTGAGATCACCTGCCCTTTTTAGGAGTGGAGTGGAGCGTCCGGACCGCTATGGTCTGGTACACAACAGAATGGGTCGGGGCCTGCCACTCACAGGGAGCTGGGAAAGGGCCACTCCCGGGACAGGGAGTCGAAGGATGTCAGGGCTGGAAAGGTGGAGAGGTGCGGAGGGCAGGGGAGAGGACCCGCCGTCGCGATTGGCCAGGAGGGAAGGGAGAGCAGGTGAGCAGAGTTCCCGCCTTCGGAGGTTCTCCTGTCTGCGCACCGCCGGTCACCCGGTCCCGGTCCGGAGAAGATCGAAGGTTAAAGGGAAATCAAGCCCCCCCACCCCGGAGAGAGCCACAGGAGGCCGCTCTCGGTCACTCCTCACCATCCCGCTTGACAGCGGGGAGTAGGGGGGTGCCGGAGTGGGGGGGAGAACCTTCACCCCCAAGTCCCTACCCTGAGGCTCCCCGACACTAGAAGGCTGAGCCAGGTGGGGAGGGGAGCAGTGGGGTCCCTCTGTATTAAGTGCCCAACGGTGGTGAACCCGTCTCCATGAAATTACAGCGCACAGCGCCCAAGGCTTGGAAACCCCAGGGCCGAAGGGAGTCTCATCTCAGGACTACTGGCCTCGGACTCCGCATGTCAGAGCTCAGTAGCGGGGCCGCACTGCGGCTCCCCCCAACGGCCCCCTTTTTAAGCTCCGCTGTGGAGCGGCAGGTGCGGCAGCACCCCAACCCCTCCGACCTCAGCTGCACTCTGGGGCGACGGTGGGGGCGCGGGGAGGTGTGGTGGAACATCAAGAGTGCCGCGGCGGGAGCTCTCATACAAGCACCCTGAAATCTTGGTGGAGAGCACGAGGGGGTTCACGGGGCGGGGAGGAGAGAGAGGAGCACTGCAGAGCTCCGCCGCCAGGCTGTAAGCGGTGGGGGGGGAGGGGCGGGGGCTCCCTTCCAGGCTCCGGGGTCTGGGGACTCGGGGATGTAAGGCGAGAGCAGGGGGGTGTGACAATTCAGCAGAGGTCGGGATGTACCACGGAGCCCAGTGGCGGGGGGGCAGAGGACGTGGTCACCGAGGGGAGCCCCCGCCCCCTTGGCAAAGGCCTATGGCTGAGGTTGCAGGGAGAACTGGCAGTGGGCTCGCAGCAGGGGAAGCGGCGAGTTAAATCCGCCCCCTCCCCACACTCCACTTCCGAGGGGGAGAGCGGCAGAGGGGGGATCGGGGTTGGAGCAGCGGCTAGGGGCCCCTCCCTCGCACCTCCCCCCACCGGACTTGGTCGCGCCCGAAGTGTAACACTTTCTCTTTGTCGGAGGAGCTCCGCTGTTTCCTGTGCTGTAGCTCCCGTTGCGGCGGCGCCCGTGGCAGCCCTGGCGGACGCAGGAGCGATGGCAGCGACCGATATAGCTCGCCAGGTGGTGAGTGCGGGGCTGGGGCACGGGCGCCGGCGCCGGGGCCTGGGGAGCACCGAGGGGACCTGGCTGCCGGCACCGCCACCGCGAGCAGGGCAGCGGGCAGCCTCCGGGAGCCCCGGCACCGCGGGACTTCTGCCCCCGGGGTCAACCGCTCAGTCCCCCAGCCTGTCCCCGAACGGTGGGGCGGCCAGGGGGGGCCTCGGGGAAGGCTGCGGCCGGCCGGCCGAACTTGCCTTGCCAAGAGCTGCAGTCGGCGCCGCCGCCTCCCTCGCTGCAGCAGCGGCCGGGCGGCTGGGGCGTTGCCGAATGAATGGCCGCACGAGCCGCCGAGTCCTCCGGGTCCCGGGCACCGCGGCCGAGCGCCCTCAGACCGCGGGGCCGCGCCCCTGCGCACCGCTGCGGGTGGGGACCCGGCTCTGCACCCGAGGAGGGGCGCCGGGCTGGGGTTAGCCTGGGCCAGGAGGCGGTGAGCGGGAAGGGGGGCGGGGAGGTGACTGGCTGGGCTGGGGTTTCTCCATATGCATTACATATGTGACTGCGTCTGTGTGTGTCTCACTGTGTGCGTGTGAGTGCACGCGCGCGCACTCGCGCCTCCCCGGGCGGGCGGAGGCGCCCGGGTCGTCTGTGACCCCAGAGGAGTCCGCCAGTTACTTAGAGTGGGCTCCGCGCCCTGGTGTGTGTCCGTGTGTCCGGACGCCCCTTCTGCTTGTGCTGTGTGACTCTGGGTCCCGCTCCCCCTTGTGCGCTTATGTCGGGTGCAGTTCGCTGGCCTGTAGGTGGCTGGCTGCGTCTTTTGGCATATTTCTGAGCACCTGACCCGGGTTTTGCGGGCCTCTGGGGGTCTGTGTCTTGGGCGCGTGCTCAGCATAACTGGGCTTTTGTGCCAAAACCTGTAGAGCTGTCTTCTGTCTACCGGGACTCAGGAAAATTAAGTGTGAGGCTTGCAAAAGCGGTACCTTCTCTCTTTTTGTTGGCAACCGACTCTGGGGGAAAAAAATCTTCCTTTAAATAACTGAAGTTTTCCAGCCTGGCATGTGCAGAGAAATCATATTGAACTGACCCGAGCCTCCATGTTTATTCAGAAGTTTGGTTGAAAGGGGAAAGGATGGTTCCATTTCGGGGAACAATCTAGCCTTTCTACTCACAGGAGGATATCTGGGATTTTAAGGAGCCACTCCCCCCCCCCCCCCCCCCCCGTTACCATTAGCTTGAGGTGAATAAGGAGAGCGCAGTAGAGGTAGGTCAAACCTCATGACACCAAAGACTGGTTGCTGAAAATTCCTGAATGTCAAAAAAATGTTTTTAAACGTCGTGGCTCATTTATTTAGGGAAATAGTTCATGCAATGTAATTGCAGTGGGGAAAAAAAAAAGTAGCCTCTAGGTGTTTGGTTTAATTGAAATTGATTTGTTTTCAAAATCTGAATCTAGAATCTGGTAGTATTTCCTCTACAGGATATGTATAAACCTATTCCACTCTCTTGTCCCTGTTTGGAGCGGCAGGGTTATTTCTTTGGAACCTCCCATCCCCCTCCTTGCCAAAGCTGGCACAGGGCTACTTATGCTGTCCTGGGGTGGAAGGACCAGGAATAGATAGCAGTCAATGCTCTGTGTAATGGAATTTGGGAGAATTCTCTCCCCTTCCTCAAGACTAGCACTGCAATATTTATTCCTTGAGTGTTTTGAGGGTTCCCAGAGAGCTTTTTTGCTCCTTGCTTGTTACCCGTGTTTTAGAGACGGCATGACTTAAGAGGAATTAGTCTCCTGGATTACACTTGCTCCATCTTTAGTGACTAGAAGTGACACTAATGATTTTTCTTGTCAGCTAATGAATTTGCATTGATTTGTTCATACTCTCTTACCAGCTCCCTTTGCCTGGATTAGGACTGCAGGGCAGATGTTGCAAAGGGGAACATTCCAGAAGGTTGTGCTGCACCTCTGGCACAACACAGGCAACTCTGAGATCTCCTTTGTTTTGCAGAGAGGGGTGGGGGTGGGGGTTTAGGGAGACCTGATTGGTTTTAGGACTACCTGATTTGCTTTGCCTGGTTCCAGTTTGGCTCTGGCTGGCCTGGCGGTACCATATGATGAAGAACATAATTACGCGCCAGATTCTAAAGCTGAAAGAGAAGCCCAAGCACTTGAAACCTTGTTATTGTGATAAATGGGTTTCTGGGAAACTGACGTCACTCTCCATGCCCCCTCCTCCAGCCAGTGAAGTTCTTGTTTATGTGTCATTTGTTTCTCTGCTCTCCTTTGTGTCTGCAAGAAGTTGTAATTCATTAGGGGAGATGGAATTAACTCAGGAGACCTTGGATGTCTGGTTGCTGCTTCTTTCTTCCTAGGAACCTGTATCCAGGGTTTGGGAAGAGAAGACTGGAGAATAAACAGAAGTGTGCCTGGCTTAGGGCTTCTTTTTAATGAGCTGGGAGACCTGGTGCCATCCGTCCAAGTTGTGCTCTGCTTTGTGCTTGGGGGCGGGGTGAGGGGGAAGGGGTGTCCTTCCCAGAGTTAGGTAAGGGGTCACTCTGGCTGGTAAGGTAACATCATTAGTGACTAAAACAGGCCTTCGAGTTGTTGGACAGGGCCCTTGTTTGGATCTGCATGCAACTTGGAAACTCAGCTTTCGTATACATAACACAATCCCATCGCATTTGAATGAACTCCACAAAGATTCTGTATCACAAAACTATTTCTCCGTTACACCCATGAGTGCTTATTTCATGGACTAGCAAGTGTCTAACACTGTGACTAGTCTTGATCAATTATACTAAAAAGTTAAAATGGAGTGGTGGACATACTTCTTGGTTTTTAGGCTTGTATACAGTCTAGCAGAATCATGGGGGACACTGTGAAATAATTAGAGAATTATAGAAGATTCTTGGGATGATCTTACCCCCACATCCTGCCTGTGAGGTGACCCAGGCTGCTATTCTTATTCTGAGAGGTTATGGGGCTTGTCCGAGGCAACCCAGCCAGGCACAGCGCACACCCCTGGGGATGTGGCTTCTGGCTCTTGCAATGAGCTGTTTCTTTCAGTGCTGCATTTTGAGGTCCAGACTGGAAGTGCCGACCCATAGAAAGAACAGCTTGTTGATTCTGGCTTGGCCCAACCCTACCAAGTGGGCCATGATACTTTCCTCCACTGGCAGCCAGATAATGGCTGTTTTCCCTCACAAAAGAGCTTATAGGGGCTAACTCCGTACTAGCAGTGCTGGGGCAACTGTCTCAAGACAATTGTTTACAGGTAGACGGAACCCTTCTGCTTGGTTCCCCTTGACGCTGCCTACCTCAGCCATTTCTCTTACTTCACACTGAAAGTAATATTATACCCCAAGCAGTGGGGACAAAACGCCATTCTGTACCTGTACCTCCGCTGGGAATACAGCACGGAAGAAAAGTTACATGGTTCCAGATACTAAAAATTCTTCCGTCTAAGTCGAGGGTATATGGGTGATCATTGTACTATTTTCCAACTGTCCTGTGTGCTTGAGACTTCTCAAAATAAAAACCTGGGGGAGATTACACCCCCTCCCCACTAATGCACATGGCTCTCTCTCAGGGAGTTCACAGTGTAATCGTGGAGGCAGACCAAATAACTAGTTAATTATCATTTGTGATGACGGCTGCACTGGAGGGCCACTGGAGGGCCACAGTCACTCTGAGGCTTCATTACAAGGGGATCTCATCCAGCAGTGGATGGGGGTGTTGGAGGACAGGGGAGTCCTGGGGCTTCAACTAAGAAAGGGCTAGGTGTGAAGATGGATGAAATGTGGCTTCTGCTACTTAGCTGGGAACGTTTCATTCGTTAATTCACCCATATGTATGCTTATCCATTCCTTCAAGCTGTATGTATTGGGCATTGGCGCTGCCAGGCCCTGTGCCAGATGTTGAAGATACACTGGTGGCCAAGACACATAGACCTCTGCCCTCTTAGAGCTTCCAGGTGAAAGGCAGGAGCAGCCATGTTCTCTATTCCAATCCTAAATCCTGGAAATGTGAGCCTTAGTGGTGCTCTTATTACAAAACGGCCTTCCAGCCAAGTGATTTGTCTGTATAGTATAAAGAGATTTTGATCTGCCATCGTGTGCATAGCATTTACTTTGTAGAGTCTCTGCTGTAAATTTTCTATTAATTGCTGGCTTTGTTACCCAGCAGGCCCCTCCCTTTGTGTGCTGTAAGGGAGCAAACGGGTTGCATTAGCCTAAGCAAAACTAATTAGGAAGGCAAGGACCCTGGAATAAGGGTCCTTATTCCCAAACGAAATAAGACTGGTTTCTGGCCTGGCCTGGGGTTCTGGAGTATTCAGCAGAGTGGGCCTTTAGTTGCATGGACATTAAGATCATATTCCAGAAAGAAAGCAGAGAGGGAGAAAAGGAAAGAACAAGAAGGAATGTCATGGATGAGGGCAACATGTTTCTTTCAGTGATCTCAAAATGCTTTCACGTCTGTGTGATGTCACTTTCCCCGATAGCTTTCCAGGCCAAGTATTCTTACTCACTTCATTTGCTGGGTACGGGGTGGGGTAGGGGGATCAAGTGACTTGGTCCAAAATGGTGTTGTTGGTCAGCGGATACAACAATGAGACTCCTGCCAGGTGATATAGATTCCATTTTTCTTAATGCTGGCCTTTTCGTGATGCTTCTAAGGACTAAAAATCCTGCCACATCCTCTCTTCTCCCTCTTTTCACTGTACCCCCGCACCCCTACACTCATGGGGGTCAGAGAAGAGTATACTTGGGTGCTGTGAAGACTCTCAGATGTTAAAAAGAATCTTAGCTTAAATCCCAGATAGCACAGTCACGGGTCCTGTGTGGGTTTTCTTCTCCCCCCCCCACCCCATATTGCTTTAAATAAAAATCTTGGAGCCACCAGCCATGTCATGATGGATTATTTTAAGTAACAACTGGAGGGGGGCAGAATAAATTAGAAACACAGACCCTCCTCGCTTTGGCAGGCGGAGGCTTCTGCTGCTGGGATTTGAAACCGTGGGTTTCTCTGCCTC